GAGCGTGCAATTGAACTGCTGCATAAAACTTCTTTTCTGCTATGAGTTTCTCAATACGAGCTGGAACCTGAGCAAACAAATGAGCAGTAGATTGGTTCTTGAACATTACAAGATTTGTAACAAGGAAATGGTTCTGCCATGAGCACTGTTATGTTAATAAATAGTAGCATGGTGGTACAGTGAATCTCCTCATTAAGTTAATCATTTTAAAATATGCTGGAGAATTTAGACCAACCTTAGCTATGCCTTCAATTTGATCTAAAAGAGAGATTACGTGTCGTAGTGTAACAGATCGATACCACAACTGATGCAACTGCTTATTCCGGGTACCAAGACGTTTCTTTGCTTCAGACAAATCAACCTTTAGTGAAGCGATACTCTCAGCAGATTCACTGAATAACCGCAAGATCTGGAAGAAAATAATAAACAACGATAATTGAGTTTAGGCACCAACTCTTTTTTATGTCAAATCCCAAAAAAGTTAAACAAGTGATAATCTTTTATGAGGTCATGAGTAAATCCAGTCCAAGAAGTTGTGATGAAATCATCACAATACACAATTTTCGCTCACTCCTTCCATGGCTGACCATCCTCAATTCTTTCTCAGACAATCATTTACACCACTTTTTACCCAGAAGCACCAAATCAGGATTTTACATCATAAAAGGGAGAATTTAGGAATAATATAAATAATTAACAAATTAGAAGAAAATAGTGAAGCAGACAAAGTTAAGAATCTCTTCGGAAAAACAGGGAAAAAACACATAAAACTAGATAACATAAAGCATCTGAAATATCAAGGAACTCATTGCAGTAAAGGAGCTAGCATTGTCAACTACGATACAAAACCTTAGTAAATGGCCTTTAAAATAAGGGGGCAGCTAGATCACAATCTTCATCTACGGGAAACAAGTCTGGAAACGAGTTATGCTAGGGAATAGTTATTTTTGCATGATAAACTTTGAAATTCTATAGCTTCATTAATGAGAAATGCTACTGCTACAAATTTTATTTAAACGTTTACTGAAATCAACGAAAAGCTCACTACATAATGCACAGATATACCTAAAGCCAAAGGTTGAATAATTGAACCATGGTCAGGACGGAGCTTATGAGGTTTATACTAGAATTTAAGATGAAGATAAAGTTGTTCGGAAATGAACTCGAGATTCTGGCAAATCAATGCAGTCAAATTGTTATCAAGTCAGAAAGTTAACACAGACTGCCACACTTGATAGACTTGCCACCCACATCCAATCAGAATATAAGAGGAAGGAACTTGCTTTTTGGCAGACTTTTATTGTATTTTGAATTGTGGTCACAAAAAATAATCCTTGATCATGGACATGGCTCTTATCAGTAAATCAACGAATACTTAAATTTGTAGTGATATTAGAACCCTACCAATACAAAGCTGTTAGTTGCAATTTCAGTAGTAAGATCTCTAACTTTGCATTAGAAGAGGACAACATTGATATTTTATAATATTATCCCCATCTTTCAAATAATAGCATTCTATAATATGGATTATAAGTGGGCACCATTGATATTTTATATGAAACTGCTCTGAGGAATTTGAAAACAAAAAAGAGGGAAAAGAAAACAATCTATCTTTTTCTATCTTGGATCCAGGAAAGCAAGAAATTTATAGCAATTAGAAATACACATTGTTTAGATCAGTCTGTAAAAGAATATTTAAGACACCTGAGAATAGTTTTGAATTGCTTTGTTGAAACCACTGTGATAAGATTGTACAACTTCATCTACGACATCCTCAACAACATCGCTTTGCTCCTTCAAAACTTGGGCTTCAGCTTCACGATCTTTAGAGGTTAAAATATGGACAACATGAGGCAATGAGTCAAAACGTGCAGCAGCCCAACTCTCATCTATTCTTGAAAGCTCTTCTCTTAAATACTGTTTTGTACCAAGAAGCAAACCAGGGGATGAGAAAAGAAAAGAAAAAAACAGGACAATAAAAAGGAAGATGTCACAAAAGTACATGACATTAATAATAATCTAGATGATTAAAAATTCGATATGAAGTTGTCACTTTACATGAAATCAATCATAGAAAGCCCATCATTAAATATAAATACATTTTCTAGCCACTTTAACACTTAGTTGTTGAGGCATGGTCTTGTTAAAATTTGATGCTTAACCATTCATTGCCTGTATTATACACCATATACGAACCCTCATATTGTTTCTCGAAAGATGCAGCACCATCTACTACTGCAAGAAAGATGAACATAATGTGGCAAAACATGCATTTATGATTCATCAAAGGCTCATATCATCTTTGTTTTATAATTACATGGAAGTTTCATGCCAGCATAACTCCATCAACTCCTGATCTAATAATTCTACTCAAGATGTTGAATTATAAATATGAAATCTACTCTAGAAACCAAAACTCCAACTAAACAACAGTTGTCAATGCACATGGTAAAACACTTGCATTATACTTCTACAAAAACACCACAAAATAAATAAATCAACGACTTACTGCTTTGTCAGGAGGAACGGGCAACCCATCAAAAATTCCCATCTTAATCCTTTTGCTTTAAGAACAGTTTTCCTAGCTCGTCCCAGCAAGGCCCTTTGTTTTTCTTTTGGCTCTTGATAAAGACTCAATCCCTAAAACAGATAGATATTAATAAAAGGAAAAGAAAAAAATCAGTCAGCGATCATGCAATTTTCTCTGACACAGTCAAAATCAAACACTGCTATTATTTCCTAACCCATAAATGCAATGTTCAACAAGGCTAATGATACCCAATAACTTGTACAATAATTAATTTGAAACATTACACACACACACATGTATGTATGTGTATAGCATTTGTTGATTATTATTACTTGGTTTCTAAGGAATAGTATGTAAAAGTCAAAGTTAAAGACTCACCGACTGCATAATCTGACTCTTATTTTCAGCTGAAACTGAACCAAAACAAGTAAGATTTTCTCAGAAAGTTCTACCCTAGGAGAGAGATTTCCAGAATTCACTTTTCCATTATATTCTTCGCAACTTAATGGCTGATCATCATAACGAGGATCTACTAATACAAATTATACAATAATAGCAAATCGTTCTCTAACATATTCTTTGACCATCGAAGATCAATTTCCCAATTGCTTTCCCCCACGCTTCACTTAATTTTTTTCCATCCCATCTAACAACTACTTTATCAAATAATTTACTTATTTCAGCAGAGTTGATGTTTTCCCTGCATTCAATTGCATATTACAGTTCATTCTCAGTTGAGAAAATAAAATCCCTTGATTATCTCACTGAACAGTTTCCAGACAACATTTTATAGGAAACAGAGCACAAACAATAAGAAAATCAAAATTAAAACAAATATCAGGCATTTAAATCCTAGCCCACTTCAGAAAATCACAAAAGAAGCAAAACCCAGTTCTCATAACATCGGATTATAACACATCGCAAAAAGAAAAGGAAGGAAAATCACTTACAAGAAGACCCAGAAAGCCAAAAACAATTACAATTTCAGTTACTTGCTAGGTGAAGTTCAATCTTTCCAACTTTTCTTGTAGATTCAGAGATGATCCAGGCCGAATGGCAGCTTTCCTTAAAATATGCAGAAGATTTCAACCTTCTGGGGTTTCATTTCTTGTACGGCGTCGGTAAAAGTGGAAACAGAAAATCAATCGTTCTGTTTATTACCACCGCTAACGGCATAAAGAAACAAGAGTTTTATGTTTCTTTGACAAAAACTTGTTAATTTAATGTTATTTCCAAATAAATATTTTTTAAAAAACATATTTTAAAATAATAATTATCATACTTTCATAATAATATTTTTTTAAATTAACTTGTCTTATATATAATAATTTAAACTACTTGAAAAAATACAGGATTATTAATTAAATTTTTTTATCATTATAAACTCTTTTATAATTCATTGAGATGATAATAATATAATTGAATACCACTGGTTTATTATCTAAACAAATATTAAAATGATATTAAACTCGTAATGAATAAATATGTATTACAAAAATAAATAAGATATTTTAATTTCTTATTTAATTTTACAATTGAATTGATTTTTTTTCTTGGAAACAAATTCAATAGCTAGTCTGAAATTTGAGCCATATTGTGGTCATAACATTTCAAACAAATAAATTGAGCTAGCTATTACAAGATTTGAATGCTATTATATCCTACTTAAAAGAAGTTTTAGAGTTAATTGCATTTGGTTTCTTGACTTATTAATTTGATTTGAATCCAAAAAAAAATACGAGAAAAAGTCCTCTGAATGCAAAAATTCAAGCGTGGATGAAATGTATAAAATGAGAAATCCCAAAAAAAAAAAAAAAACCTAGAAATTCAAGCTTACCCCAAAGATTTCTTGACCTTTACAAAAGGAAAACTATCTCTCCAGCTATATGTTAGTTAGCGCTTTAATTGTTTATATAGGACCAAGCAAAGGAGAAAAGCTATTGTTATATGTAATTACACAACCAAACAATAACTTGAGATATTTCTTATTCATCGTGTTTATGAATTATATCTTATAATTTTTTTTGTGTTGGGGTTTAGATGGGTGTTAGTAAATTAAATTAAATTAAATTATTTTTTTTAGGGTTTGAAAATGTGAAAGTAATTAATTCACTGTTATAATTTTTTTATGTATAAAAAACAATACCCCCCTAAAATTCTTAGTTCTGCCTCCATAATAAAATATTAGAAAAACTAAAACCTAAACAAGAAAAGAAAAGGAAGAAAGTAACAAAACAAGATATACTTTAATTTTTTTTTTTAAAAAAAAAACATGATGAGTGACAAGATAAACCTATCCACCAACAACTCAGAAACATAAAACTCTTGTTTCTTTATGCCGTCAGCGGTGGTAATAAACAGAAAGATTGATTATCTGTTTCCACTTTTACCTACGCCATACAAGAAATAAAACCCCAAAAGGTTCAAATCTTCTGCATATTTTAAGCAAAGCTGCCATCGGGCCTGGATCATCTCTGAATCTACAAGAAAAGTTGGAAAGATTGAGCTTCACCTAGCAAGTACCTGAAATTGTAATTGTTTTTCGCTTTCTGGGTCTTCCTGTAAGTGATTTTCCTTCTTCTTTTTTTGCAATGTGATATAATTCGATGTTATGAGGACTGGGTTTCGCTTCTTTTGTGATTTTCTTAAGTGGGCTAGGATTTAAATGCCTGGTATTTGGATTAATTTCGATTTTCTTATTGTTTGTGCACTGTTTCCTATAAAATGTTGTCTGGAAACTGTTCAGTGAGATAATCATGGGATTTTATTTTCTCAACTGAGAATGAACTGTAATGTGCAATTGAATGCAGGGAAAACATCAACTCTGCTGAAATAAGTAAATTATTTGATAAAGTAGTTGTTAGATGGGATGGAAAAAAATTAAGTGAAGCGAGGGGGAAAGCAATTGGGAAATTGATCTTCGATGGTCAACGAATATGTTAGAGAACGATTTGCTATTATTATATAATTTGTATTAGTAGATCCCACTCGAATTCTTTGTTTCTCCACATTGAATAGCACTTGGATTTGTAATTTTTGACAAAACCAGTGATGAGCTGCCATTGGCCTTTGACAAGATGCATGGATTCTCCACGGTCGATGGCTTTGTGGAGATAACTGAAAGCTTGGCTGAGATGATTAAGTACGTGGCAAATGAACCCTCAGTAGGGCTCTTCTATGTTCAGCAGCATGCTCAAAATGCAATTCCGAATGTCATTAGGCTCAAGAATAATGTTGTGGAGAAGTCACGTGTAACAAATCTGCACACTAAAGACTTGGAGGATTGTATCACCATGGTGAAGTCAATGAAAGAATGTGGTTTCCCTGTTGCTGATGAGATGATTAGAGACATCAGGAAATCTTTAGCAACAATGTCAGCTAAACAACCAAGAAGAGGATTAATTAATAGCCCAGTTTCAGGTTTTCAGATGGGAAGAACCAGCTCACGGGGACCAGGCACTTGGGGTCGTAATGGAGAAGACGCCGAGAAGGATGGCAAAAGGACGAGCAATTACTTTTCAACTGTATTTAAGACTGCCAAAGAAAAGGCAAGCAATTTCAAGTGGCCACCACTTGATTCCAAAGAATCAACCACAAACCAGGCAGAAAAACTACTGTCTTGTCCTACTTCATCACAATCGGTCACTAGCACTGGCTCGTCTCTGCCTGATGTGGAAGCTGATGAATTGCCCTTGTCAAGTCCGACTGCTGGTGGACAACAATTAGATGAAGAAGAGGATCAATCTGGTGTGAACTTGCCACGTCATAATATATTGTTGTTAACAGAGAACTTCGATGACTTCAAGGCTGATAAGGAAGCCAAGCTAGAGGAGTGGTTGGGAGGGACTGCTGACAACCTAGAGAAACTGCAGGAGGGCAAATGATGCTGGCGGATTTCCCTTTTTTGTTCCTTCGTCTTCTTCTAACATGATGTTCGATGCCATTGCTTCCCAAAAAATCTGTTGCTTTTGCTCTACTGATCTCTGAAATGATCTTATGCAGTAGGTTGATCTTAGTAAAAATTTTCTGATATTTTGTTGGTTTCGCATAGCTTTTGCGTTTCTGGTTCCAGCAACCCATGGCACAAACTAACATTTCCAAAATTGTAAATATTTTGGACATTAGCCCGTAGGTACTCTCCAGCTCTCATTTATTCCACATAGGATCTTGTTCGTTGATCAAGCCTAGCAGTCTTGAAAGCACCCTTGAGATGTTGATGTTCCGCATTGATGTCCAGATTTGGCGTGTCAGTTGTGTGGCTTTACAAGTGTCAGGCCTGAGTCATAAGTTTGCAAATTTAAGTTCTTGGAACAAATATTTCATGCAAAACTGGAGCTGCTTGTCATTTGGCAAAAGGAGGGGGATGGGGGAATCTTGAGAGGTTCTTCCCATTTGTTCTATACACTTGAATCAACACTTATCTCCCTTTTTACCTGATCTTGAAAGCAAGAGTACTCGATATAAATAGATTGCTAAGCCATCTCTAGATATGCTATTATAAACAAAGTAACAATGGAGGTTGATCATGTCAATGGCTATATTCTTTTTTACTCAGATTAGATTTCATATCATAGATTTCCCGAGTCGATCCACTAAGCAAAACAATGCTTATGTTGTGCTATCTGAAATCATTATCATCCAAAGATTGAAATGGGATACTAAAATCAAAATTATTAAAAATATTATGGCTATCATCCTCTCAAGTAAGGATGAATCAATACATCATTCATCGGATTCAACGCCTAAACAGTTCATTTATTTAATTAAAAAAAAATATAAGATAAATAATTGCATGCGTTTTGTTTCCTTTCACTGCCTTTTTAGAACATGCTATAAGGAAGCTCAATAAATAAACAATAATCTTTTCATCGCCGTACATGTTTTTTTTTCAATTGAATTATGTTCAATGGATGTTGTGCAACAGAACTGTTGTTACTTATTTTTAGATTCCTATAAAAAAAATAAAATAAAATAAAAGAATAATAATAAAAAAAAAATATTCAAAAGAAATCCAAAAAATAATAGGAGCGAGAAAAGGATGCTGGAATGCCGAAAAAAGATTAAAAATTGGTTGAAGATGTTCAAAAATACATAAGATTGAAATTTGACATTATATTTTTTATTTGTGAGAGCCCTGTTGACAAGAAAAATTTAATTTGAGAAGGAAAAGTCTAAAATCAGATGTTTATGGACTCAATTAAATTTTATCTAAGGTTTGATTGAATTTATAGAGGGTTTAATTACAAGAAAAACTGATTTTTTTAAATTTAGGCTTTTATTAAAAGAAATTAAAGTTTTGGGGTCCAATTATAATTTTAAAAAGTTGATTTGGTTAAATTAGGGGCATAATTGCATAATTATAAAAGTTTAATGGATAATTAGGGACTTAATTGAAATAATGCAAAACCAAAGACCAAAATATAAAATTTGGTAAAATCAAGGGATCTAATTACAATTCATCCAGGAGCTTGATTACAAAAATTGTACAAAATTGTCAAAACAGCCAAGGACAAAATTGAAAATATTCATTTTGAAATTTTGAAACGGCGTCGTTTCCTTAAAGAGCATTATTCATTGTCTCCTTCAAAGAAAGCCATTTTCAGCAATAAAACAGGGATACATTTTGCAGCAAATTGCTACAATTATGAGGCACGTTTTATTGCTGCTATCTCTACGATCGTTACCACCGTAAGGCTTTCCTTGGCCTATAAAAGCCAGAGAAAGACAGTGAAAAAAGGGGGAGGAATGAGACAGCGAGGGGAGAAAATGAAAAAGGCAATGAGACAAAAGAAAAAAAAAACAGAGAGAAGACAGTGCAAAGAAGAGAAAAGAAAGATAGGAGAGCAGAACATAAGGGAGATAAGACATGGAAGGGGAAAGAAAACGGGGGAGAGTGGAACAGAAGGAGCTAGAAAAAGGTGACAGGCATGAGAAAGAAGAGAGGGGGAGAGAATCAGAAGTAGAGAGAGGAGAAGAGACGGACACAAGGAGAAGACAGAATGAAAAGGAAGCCAGACGCAGGGAGTGGCATCATAGCTTTTTCCCAGAATCCCAGTAACAAGCTCAGGAGGGATTTCTCCCAGCAGCGGTTGTGAACCAGGTAAACTTTTCATTCCTTCTCCTTCCTTTTATAATTGCACAAACACTATGCAGCTTTAATTAAATCGTGGTTGTAGCAGGCGTGCGTGAATTGTTCACGCACGCTTGCATTTAAAAGTCAGTCGGGTCACTGGCTGAGGTCTGCTGGGTCCAACTCAGCTATATGGATCCAATTTAAAATTTAAAAAAGAAAATTATAATTTTTTTGTGTATTTTTTACTGTGTTTTGATTGATATTAGTTTGTATTTTTATATAGTAAAAATATAAATTTGATATTAAAATACCTGGTTTTTGTCAAAAAAATAAAAAAATAATTTTTTTTGTTTTCATGTATATGGCCAAGCCTAAAAAAAATCATATTGTATTTTCATATAATAAAGAAAATTTAAAAAAATATGTATTAGCATGCATTTTGGTTTTAATAACCAAATTATTAAAGTCACGAAAACTAGGTCAATATTTCAAAAAATTTAAAAATTTCAAAAAATTATTTTTTTCTTTTAATATATGAGATTGCGACCTCATATGTAAGACTTATTTCGGATATTAAATTATTTTATTGACATCAGAACAGTTAGGTTTTATTTAATAAGATAAAGATTTCCTTACCGAAAAAGACTTTTCTTAAGCAATAGATGGGCCAACAATTAGAAAATATAACAAGATATTAGGTTTTATCAGACAATAAAACAATACAGCCTACCTTAAGTAGGGTATATTAGGAGTGCTAATATCTTTTTTTTACGTAACTAGTCCTGATAGCCGATTTTTGAAACCAGTTAGGGTTCCTAGTGAGAAAAATACTAGGTGACGACTCTCATTCCAATTTTTCACTAATAAAAAACAAGAATTCCTTGTCTCTTCATATTTACCACATTAAATAAAATTTTGAGGGTAGATGTTTTCATCGTGATACTACACACGTACGACAACAAATAACATTTTTCTTCACTTTATCTCCTCTATTCCTTCCAAAATTCGATTAGACCTCCTAGTAGTCTTTATCTCCTCTATTCCTTCCAAAATTCGATTAGACCTCCTAGTAGTCAATCATCAATCGCGGAGAATTAACCTCCTTTATCATTTTAAGCACTTAAAATCAAACAATTACTAGTATATAAATATATGATTTTATTAAATATATAAACAAATATAATTTTTATCTAAAATAATTTTTCAAAGGAATAAAACAATTATCTGATTCTTTCTTTGTATTTGATGTATGGTACAATCTCAATCTAAAATATTCTTTCCAAATAATAAGATTTGTGCTTTGCAAGAGCGTGAATTTAAACATGTATTGCAAAGCAAGATTTAACCCTCGTAACAAAAACTCTTTAAAATTTAAATGGATAACAAAAAAAATATATATATCATTTAAAGGAGGCTCTTTAAATAAAATGAAAGAGAAAATGAGTATTAATCTACATATAAATAAAAAACTGAGAAAAATAT